GGGTCGAAACGCCCCTTACGCCCTCACGGGGATAGGTACTTGGAGAACCATTGAAAAGAAAAAGAAAAGGTAAAAGAAAAAAAGAAGGGAAAAAGGAGAGTGGAGAGAAGGAAAAAAAAAAGAGAAAAAGAAAAAAAAAGGAAAAGAAAAGAAAGAAGGAAAAAAAAAAAAAAAAGGAGAAAGAAGAAAAAGAAAAAAGGAAAAAGAAAAAGAAAGGAGAAAAAAAAGAAGGAAAGAGAGCACCCCTCTACCCAACCGCTGCTGCTTCCTGCAAATAGGTTTGTCAGTCCATTATTGCCTCAACTAAGGCAAGCGGGTGCGGAGGGAAGGGGTCAAGGAAATCGGTTGGGGGGCGCATCTGAAAGGTGGGATCTATAATCGTCCAGTCATTTAGAGTCAGGCTAGAGTCAGGCGGTAATCCCTGCACTCCACTAGATCCCATGGCTGCACATCATCCTTATCCCCCCCCCCATTCTACTTTCGCTATCCATCCTCCTCTCTCCCCTCCTAGCCAGTCTTTGCAGAAGGAGGAGATTGCACGCTTGATGTCTTTGTTTGTTCGGAGGAGGTCCAGTTGGAATTTCAGTGTCTGCCATCTCCGCATGATTTCCATATTAAGTTGCTGTTGGATCTGTTCGGTTACCTCCGGCCCTTCTACCCGCACCCCTTCCATCACTAGAATGCACCTTTGCCACCAGAGCCCCCATAGGATTACTCTCCGACTTGCCTCCCTCCAACCGGTCTAAAAGGTCATATATGCGTGGTAGTTGGTCGTCATTCTTCACGATGATGGCACTCATTTGCCCAAAATCTATGCACATATGCAGTTGTCCCTCTTTCTTGGGGACAAACAAGACAGGTCACCTTACAACGATGAGCTAGGCTTACTCCACACCTTTTCTATTAACTAGTCAAATTGTTTCCGAAGTTTTTCCAACTCTCTAGGAGACATCCAATATAGCGGTCCCCTAGGTATCTTACTCCCGGGCTCCATCTCTATCTAATGCTCACTTTCTCTCTCAACTACTTTGTTGGGTGCGTCCTCTAGGTCTGCATGCTAGTGGGGGGGTTTACTTCCTTTTCCTCTTCCTTAGCTTCGCTCACTGGCTTCTAATAGGACTCTGCCATTTTCTGCTTCACTACATCTCTAGCAAATGCAGGTGCACTCAAACAGCATAGGGACAGGGCAGACTTCGGACAGGACTCATGGAACAATTTTGCCTTCTTGTTGTTACCTTGGCTGTTGGGTAGCCAACACTTGTGCTCGCTTGTACGGATGTCCGCATTGGCTGCTTCCCCCAATCTTCCACTAGGAGGGTCACGGAATGCAGTACTTCCTCTACCTTCTCCCCCCCTCCATTGGAAGTACACGCGGATCCCCTCAACATACTCATTTACAGCCATCTGCCTTCGTTAACCCTTTCCTAGATATATAACTCCTAGTCGACCCGTTGTCCACTAACCGGAATGCGGCGTGGCATGCCTGCAAGACCTGCACAGATTTACGTGAAATAATTCCTGGAGCTTTGACTTCTACACGTCTTCGCTCTACAACACCTAAAGCACCTTTTCCATCAGCAAAAGTCCCTGCAGCCCGAACGAATTTGGCACCTTGGCCTGGATTCCATTCAATATTATGAATCAAAGTGCGCCTAGCGTGGTCCTATTCACTTCAACATGTACCAAAATCAATTGCCCTTGCTCTCCTTTCTTGATTTCAGGCCCGGCTTAGCGACAAGTGATCAGTTCTTCGTCTATATGCCTGCAAGGGGTCCACCTAGAGAGACCCTAACACAAGCAGTCTCCGAGCAACTACCTAGATTGGGGCCTACATCAGCTTCTGCCACAATGAACTGTAGCAGCAACTGCTACTTCTACTCGCTATTCCCTTTGAATGATTGTTGCCACTCACAACAAAAGGGAATGATGTGGCCTGTTTTCCCGTATGTAAAACACCTTCCCTCACCTCTCCTCTTCCTCCAACTGTCCTTCAAACATCTTTATTGCTTTCAAGGGCTCTCCCTTTACTCTCCCTGGATTCGGTGGGTATCTCCTAGAGCCACAAGGTGGGGAGTTTCCTCAACCTCCTCCGCTTTGGCAAGATCAAAGTTGTTCCCACCTCTTCCACCCTACGGGTAGAGGTTCCTCTTTGTCGTCTTGCCCCCATAGCTCCCTCCTCCCGCTTGGAGTTATTGAAACCTCCATTCCCCTATAAAGCAAGCCCCCACCAAAGTTGTTCCCACATCGTCCACCCTAAGGGTAGAAGGGGTCTCTACCATCTTTCCCCCATAGCTCCCACCATGGCCTTCACAGTGTCGGCCTCCTCACCCTCCCCCACATGCTACTACAGCCAAATAATCCCTGGACTACTTGGCTGTCCTCCTCCAATCCGTAGTCTATCTGTTCATAGGGTAGTTACTTTACCCCACCTCCTTCAAACGTAACTAACAGGTTGTCCCCTCCTTGAATGTTACCCGAAATAGTTCCACCCTCTTATTTCTTTCCCCTCTCTAAATCCTGGTAGAAGTGATGATTGGCTTGTTGTAGAACGCAAGCCTGCTCTAGCACATACTTAGAGAATGCTTTTTAGGTTTGTCCCAATTTCTTGGCCTTTGCAAATAACTAGGACTTCAAGGGATCAGGCAAATGCGAAGTGATTCAAGATCTGCGCTGGGGTTCTTGCTTGATCTTCTCCTTAGGGCCAGTTTCATCCCCATCGAAATCCTTCCCCTTCCTTCCCCCTTTCCAGCCTCCATCACCATCATCATCTCCATAACCTCCATCACGGTCCTTCCCCTTTTTTCTTGCCTAACTCCTCCCTGGTATGCTTCTCCAATTCGTTGTTATAGTTACGGGAGGTATGATGCTGCTTCATTATCTATTCTACCAATAGGCAGATTGCAACGGCCTCATTCAAGGAGTGGCGCATTCTGCAACACCTTTTTCTATTTCTCCACCTCCCTCTTCTTCTCCTCCATAGCCCGCCTGGCTTTCTCAATTTCTTTTCTTCTTCTCTCAGAGCTCTTTATCTTCTCCCTCTACCACCGATATGCTGATCTGTAAGGCCTTCCCTTCAACCTCCCAAAGAGCTCTTTCTCTTCTCCCTTTACCGCTGCTATGCAGATCTGTAAGGCCTCCCCTTCAACCTCTATTTGTTTAGGGGTCGACACCCCTCCAGCCATTTCAACAACCCTCTTATAGTTCTCCATACCCTCTTGAGTCTTTACTCATCAACGAGGGTGGCGACTCCACCTTACCTTTCCCTTTGTCTTCTCTTTTCTTTTCGCCCTCTTGCTTTCCTCCTCCCTTCTTTGCTTCTTCTCCTTCCTCCTCGGATTCCTTAGTTTCCAATTCTGCATCCATTTTTTCCTTTTCCTTTCTATTTCCACTTTCTTTCTTTTTCTTTTCTTCTCCTCCTTTTTTTCTTTGTCGCTTCCTACTCTGGATCTGTCGGCCCCAACCACCTATTTCTCATCTCGCAAGGTGTTTGGTGTGTATATGACACATGCCTAAGGGGGAAATCATTCGCAATAGCACTTCTCATATGGGGAAATCATTCGCAATAGCGCTTCCCATGGTACAAAGAAGGGAAGGATTGCATAAAACAGATAGTCATCCATGGCGTTAAGAAGTATAACTACCGGTCAAAGTTTTGGCCTTCGTTCCACTTCCTTCTTGCCACGTGAATTCTAAGCTTCAAAACTATTCCTGACCTATTACCATTGACTTCTACTTCCCACACTTATTATGGCATCGCTATAGGTTGCACGTACCCCCTTCAAGCCAACCAGCAATTTAAGGACTGCAATCAACGTCCTTMGGAATTCTTTAACCGCAATCAGGACGACCGGGCTTGAGGTAAGTCGAACTCCCTTTCAAGGCTTGGTCGACTCTCTCTCTAAGGTCACACAGTTCGTCGCATGTCGCTCAATTCCTGTTATTGGTCTAGTTGGGTTGCTTAATGAGCACCCACTGCTTAATGCTAGTGCAACTACTTTACGTGCTCACATGCCAAGCTCAGACCCTACCTCTCTACTTAATGCAACCTACCTATTGACTTAGGACTCTCGACACGTGTATCAACCTTCCAAGGATAACTACCGGTCAAAGTTTTGGCCTTCGTTCCACTTCCTTCTTGCCACGTGAATTCTAAGCTTCAAAACTATTCCTTACCTATTACCATTGACTTCTACTTCCCACACTTATTATGGCATCGCTATAGGTTGCACGTACCCCCTTCAAGCCAACCAGCAATTTAAGGACTGCAATCAACGTCCTTAGGAATTCTTTAACCGCAATCAGGACGACCGGGCTTGAGGTAAGTCGAACTCCCTTTCAAGGCTCGGTCGACTCTCTCTCTAAGGTCACACAGTTCGTCGCATGTCGCTCAATTCCTGTTATTGGTCTAGTTGGGTTGCTTAATGAGCACCCGCTGCTTAATGCTAGTGAACTACTTTACGTGCTCAGATGCCAAGCTCAGACCCTACCTCTCTACTTAATGCAACCTACCTATTGACTTAGGACTCTCAACACGTGTATCAACCTTCCAAGGATATGCTTTAATGCCAGTGCAACTACTTCACGCGCTCACATGCCAAGCTTAGACCCTACCTCTCTACTTAATGCAACCTACCTGGAACTAGTACAACCCATGCAGCTTGCCTCCAAAGCCTTATGCTCTAAGGATCAACCTTACAAGGATAGGGAGTACTTTGGGATTTCCAAGCCTCCTGGCAGGGCATGCAACCCTATCCACTCCACGAGAATCGTGGGGAGTTCCTCCAGTAAGGTATCACTACTGGTTAAATATATCAATGTTCCTACTCCTAGACCTAATTGACATTAACAAGAATTGACACCAACAAAATTGACCAGCAACTTTTCATTCACGAGAAAACCTTACAAAATCCAAAAAGCATCAGCAAATTGCAAAATGTCAAGGCTTAGGGTTCGGGGCACTTCACTTCCAGTTGATGACACTAGATGCCGCGTCGACGAACCTTGACGCTCCCACCTCAGCCACTTCCTCTTCGACATTCCAAGTGTTCCCCCAGACTCCCACCTCAGCCACTTCCTCTTCAGCATTCCAAGCACCGATGCAACGAGAGTATGCACCGATACCACTGTAATGATACAACCATACTTGCAAGCACACGCCGTGTTGCAATTCCGCACGTGCGACGGACAAGCGGCGTGGGGGAAATAGCCACCCAGGAAAAGAAGGGGTCGCAGGCCTGGATCGTTGATCATTTGTGCCCCCTTTGAAAATTTGTTGTAGGATGAAAAATAAATAAAAAATTGGACGAGCAATTTCACCACTTAACAGTCAAGATTGATGCCCATGCCCAGTGAGACAAAAAAAAGATTTGTACGACTGTATTTAAACAGGATCTGTTCATTAGGTAGCACACTCTTCTGTATCTACGAAAACAGCAAAAAAAAAAGAAAAAATAGAGATTATTTATGGTACGACACACGGGCAGGTTCTAAGCGTCGTGAGGCGCACCGCACCACACGGCCGTGTGGCTTGTGCGGTTGCAAGTATGGATCCGACTCAATTGGACTCTAAAAGCCCAATCATCCAAAGACTCCAAACTCATTTCATACTTAAACACCGAAGCAACAAGAAAGATATCAGCCGAAACTCGGAAATATGATTCCAAAATTTAAAATTGTTACAGGGATCCTAACTCAAGTTACACGTGTCTATAGTCGCCACATACTTCCACTAAGATACGGACTCTCTCTCTCTCTCTCTCTCTCTCTCTCTCTCTCTCTCTCTCTCTCTATCTATCTATCTATCTATCTATCTATCTATCTATCTATCTCTATCTCTATCTCTATCTCTCTCTCTCTCTCTATCTATCTATCTATCTCTATCTATCTATCCATCTATCTATCTATCTATCTATCTCTATCTATCTATCTATCTATCTATCTGTCTATCTATCTGTCTATCTATCTATCTGGCACCTTGCTCCAGTTACTCTGCCGATATGCCCGACCAGTTGCATGGAACCGTTGCACAAATGAAACAACACTTCCAAAGCATACCCATTGACAAGTCACCCACAGAACTTGGCTCTTGAGCCCTATGGGCTATAATGTCCTTCTCCTCCCTTCCTAGTGCTAGCTATGGCACCTTGCTCCAGTTACTCTGCCAATATGCCTGACCAGTTGCATGGAACCGTTGCACAAGCGAAACAACTCTTCCAAAGCATGCCGATTGACAAGTCACCCACGTACTATAGCTGCTTATATAGCAGCAGCAATTGACATCTTTGTCTGCTCAAAACACGTAGCGGTCTCCCATGGCCTGTCAGCCACAATTGCCAGCTTCGGAAGTCACCCAGTCTTCCTTGGATGCTGCTGCCAAATTTAGAATGGGACTTTTTTCTGTCAGGTACCAGACTTCTAACGACCTAAGACATCTACAACCGAGGGCCTGGATCAGCATTGTGGCCGGCTATTGTACATGGAACTGGGACTATTGGGACTCTGGGACTGGGACAAAGGACTTGATTGAGACGAGAAATGCTTTCACGAATATAAAGCATGTGGGAAAACAAAGATGAGCAACACATTCTAATATTCTCAGGAAGCCCAATCTCTCAGTTCTGGAGTACATGTATATGTACGGCTCATTCATGGCTTTTGCCTGCATGAAAATCCAGATGCATCTTCAAATCTGATTTTTCAAGTACAAAACGATTGCGAAGCAACTTCGCGAGTGCTTGGGGAAAGACATTGACTGCAGCTTTATAGCATTACCAGTAGTTTAACACCATCTGAAATTTCCAATGGAAATCTGGCTTCCTAATTTTCAACTCACTGGACCTGCACCACTGTGAGATACATTAAACCGCCGGTACATCCGAGGCTCTTTTTCCCGAGGTGGATTTGTGCTGTGCGCAAAAAAAAAATAAACAAATGGGCACCACGTAATTTTTTTCATTTCGGCTGGCACCGCCAGCCAAACGGATCCGATGGGTCGGGCCCCAAAAGTCGAAGAGTGTATATGGCCACGTCGGGAGAAAATAGCTGGGCTGTGTTCTGTGGTTTCACAAGTCTAGTAGCCTGGTTAGTCGGCTCTTTGGCTTCAAGAGGGTGCTCATAACTTGCCCTTTGGGCCAAATTTCTCAGGTCTACTCTTCAATCTTCCATGCTCTCCCACATCATAGCCTTGTAAGTATTCAATGCGCAAATCATGGAAAAAGATTACGACCATTCTTCAGCTAGTTACTAGAAACAAGAAAAGTGGAGAAAAACTGTTGGGCCCACTCTCTCATGAGGTCTACTATTCTCTCAAGAGAATCAAGGAGTTCATTAAGATGAAAACGATAGAGCCTGACCAATGTTGCTCACAATATCATCTTATTTATGGTTGGACATCTTCTAGCACACCATGTTACGTGCACTTCCGTTTCTCGCCCATTTCATTCATAACTTTACAGCAATGGCACGACAGATATATGCACAGAGAGGACTCAAATTCAAATAATGATCATGCACAAGCATGACATTAACACCGTTCTTTTCGCAACACCTCTCTAGCTACTGACAACTAACCATCTCAAATTGTCAGGAAACACTCTTGCAGGTATCTAAATAAAGCATACACAAGATCACACCATGAAAAGGCCTGATAAAAATGGTTGACAATCACACACACTCTATCCCGCTGTGGAAAACCTCCAGCACTACCTTCGATGACAGCCATGTGCCACCTGGCAATACAACATACAAGTGGGATGACAAAGAACAAGGGTGCCAGAGGGCACACAGACAAAGAACGAGCCAGGGACTGCAGCATGCAGGCACATGAAAATCTCATGCAGGAAACAAAATGTAGTGGCTAATTCAGACGTAAACAGTCATTACGACAAATGCTCCTCACACTTGCATCTTCAGAACACGTGTTTAAGACAAATATGCATGTATAATGTACAGAAACTGGAAGAATGGCAAAACCGCACTGCAGCTGGAACATCAGCTGCGAGCTTGCACCGGCTTCCAAGATCAAATAGCTGTCCAGACAAGTTTTGACAGGCTGCTCTGCTACGAAATCTGTACTGCTCCTTACAGCAACATTGAAACTGAGACATGAAATGGCAACAGCAGCCGAAGCCCACTGCATACGGAACTCAACCCAGTGCAACCTGTGAATCTCTGGATTTCCAAACCAAGCAGAGGACTTTCATCAACCACACATCAAATCTAACATAGGCAAGCACATGGGCAACCTTGTAAACTGCAAGTGAACATCCCCTCTGCAACTTCGTGTCACGGGCTTTGAATTACAAGTTATAATCCCTTGGACAACCTCAAACTGCTTCACCTGACAGGTAAGGTGCATAATCAAAACGTTTATCAGCAGTCAAAAATCCGTAACAATGGAAGTGAAGATAAGCTACTGCTGCAACTGACAGATAGGGGGCATGGTAACCACATATAGTAGCTCCCGAACATAGATTGTGTCATAATTCATATAACAATCTGGCATCAAGCTGTGAACAAAGGAAAAGAGCACTATGAGGTGTCTTTTGCATGTAGAATGGAGCATAAATGAACCAACCATGCCACACAGGTGGCCTGAAGAAAGACAAAATCTCTTTAACTGTCAATCATCAATACCACATGAGTTCAGCACTCGAGGGAATACCTTTGCATGACCTCTTAGTCTAACCCTCTCCACCCACAGCTCCTCTTCCGAGAGCTCACACCTGTGACTGCACATGCTACACATTTTGTCTGTCTGCCAAGAACAAATAAAGAGAAATAAATCACGATATGAGGGAGCACTAATATGCCTTCAAAAAATTACCTTCTTAAAAGCGTCTGGCACTGTCACTCCCTCAGGGACAAACATGCCCTTCCCTCTCCCTTCCCGCTCGAGGCTGTGCCACACAATCCACACACACACACACGCACACACCAGTGCCTTGTTGATCACTTTTGCATGAGGTGCTATTTTCAGGTATTCCCTCAAAAGTGGTTAGCCCTGCACACAGCAAAACACCAATCCTCTCTCTCTCTCTCTCTCTCTCTCTCTCTCTCTCTCTCTCTCTCTCTCTCTCTC